TTTGTTTATTGCAAAAAATGAACAGACGTTGATACGAATATAACAAGTAAAAATTTTTATTGAATAACATATTTTATCTTCAATATAAAAAAAAAAAGATTAATATATAATTAATCTACATACATATATGTGTTATTCTTGTGTCTATTACATCATTTTTTTTTACAAAAAAAAGGTTGAAATATAAATAAATAATTGTACTGAAAAATATCATCATCTGATAGAGAATACTCTAAAGTGTAAAAACAAACAAATGACTTCACAAGATTAGCAATTTTTTCTTCTATTCGTTTTGAAGATTAAAACCGAGTTGAACAAGTAATTGGTTTTTCTCAAATACTTCAATATTTCGTTACACATAATTATTGTTGTCTATACTTTAAATCTATTTTAAGCTAAAGCGATGCAGAATTGTAAGTATGCTACTTAGTTGATATTTGTGATTTAAAAAGGAGTTCTTCATTCTTTGTAGTCTAGGCAGCAAATAATTAAAACGGGATAGAACATACAAAAAGAAAACTTTTAAAAGTATTTTTCAGATTATATTCTTGAGTTGTGCTATCGAATTGATATTTTTAGTCAAAACTAGTGATTTACAATCTATAATTTGTCCAGGAGATAAGCAAACGAGAATGAGAAAAGAATCTTGGTTACATGTTTCAATCACGAAACACTCTGATGACTCACACATTTTAGCAAAATGATGAATATCCTTATGGGAAAAGATTTGATCTAATGTGTTGATTGATTTCATACTGAACTCAAAAAACAGAGGAGAAATATTTCTTGAATGTTTTCTGAAGCCACTAATAGAAATTTAATTTTCTGTGAAACGAAAATGATTGATAAAACATAATTTATCAAGTTAAGACAACAATAGAACAAAAAAGAAAAGAAGTGATTTATTTTCAGTATCATTTGTAAAGCATAATAGATAGACACTTGATTTGATTAGATCGTAATTGAAAAACCCAATAAGACCATTTTTAATGATTTTACGATACGATGTACAGAAAATTATTCATAAATATTAATCATCTGAAATCAATGAGTGAACACACAATTTAAATATGTCTAAAAAGAAAATTTGAAGAAAACTATTTCATTAGTTCGTTTTTATTTTGAATTATCTTTACTTTAAACTATATGTATACATTTAACGAATTGATATGATAAAAGAAAGGAAATTCTTTAACATTGTAACAAAATTAATTCTTAAAATTCAATCCATTCATAAAAATTCAAGATTATTATCATTAAATGGCAAATAATAATTATTGTTGTGATATGATTATTTGCGACGGTATTTCATAAGTTTTCATAGATGTAGATTGTTAATACATCAATTTTTTGATAATGATAATGAAACCTCTCTCCTCTCTATTGATTTTAAGTTTAGAATATTAATGCCAAAATTATTTATTAATTTTTTATTAAAACAAATGGAATGTTGATTTGATGAAATTTGTCGTTGAACTATGTTATTATTAGATAAAAATTCTCTAGATATGGACATTTTACGGTATCTAATGAAACTTCAAATAGATTTTGAACAATTATTTTGTCTAAAATAATTCAATCAATAATACAGAAATTTAAAAACAAATGAAACTTAATGTCAATTTAATAATACATAGATTTTGAAGTATTATCAAAATTTGTTGAATACATCATTGGTGTATGATAGACATGTATTATTTATTTGTCTATATTCAGGATTTTCATCAAGATTAGTGGAATTTGATTCATTACTGACAGTTATTTCCTTTTTTTTTAATAAACAGTACTGTTCTATTGCATATCATGAAAATATATTCATCTGAAGTTTACGTATATATATATAAAGTTCTACAAATATGTTTTAAAACAAAAGGAACCATTTGAATACTTCATCAACAAAATAAGCTCATTAGTTGACTCTCATCACGCCATATTAAAAATTACAATTTCTCAGTTTATATATGAAGAATAACATCTCATTGAAATAAGAATGGAAAAGGACCTTCTGATATTCGTTATTGTTGTTGTATTATAATTATCTTTCTATCTCCTATGCAAGTCTCATTATATCAAAAATGATAAAAATTTAACATAAAGAATTCTTTTTTCACTCGTATTTGATTAGAGTTTTATTATATTGAAACTGGAAAATTAATCGAAATTTCAAAGTATTAATTTTTAATTTTTGTCGCAAATAATGACAACTTTAATCCGTTTCAATCATCTGTTTTTAAAATATGTCATGAAACAAAAAAAAAACAGATGTCATATTTAGATTGTCTTGTTCTCTTTACATCTTTTGTCAAATTGTTTTCTTACTCGAGAATATATATGAAAACGATATAAATTTAAAATAGATTAAAAAAAACAAATACTTTCCATCATGAAGATTGAAATAAGCTACATTCACTTTTCGCCATTGCATTATAGCGAAACATACGTACAGCCTTTATAAATTAGAGAGAGGGCGCTAAACAGCAGTAAACGTATGCATATATCCTTATTGCTCACGAAAAAAAACAAGTTTGCAAAAAGACACGTTTTCACTAATAACGGAAAAAAGCCGTTTAATAACACATCCTTTTTGATACGTTTTCGTATTATAAAACAGAGTTTTTTTCCTTCAGAAGCATTTTTCTATCCGCCCATCAGTATTATTCATTTTATCACATGTATATTAATAATCAGAATCTTCCATAGGCTTATCGTTTGTTGGGACCAGCTGCGATTATTATTAGGGTCTTCATGCAGCCGATTTCATTCGTCTTTTTCTTTTTACAGAGGGTAATATCTGCACTCCTTCCGTCTAACGTACTAACTAACGATGTATTCACCAGGCTACGAATAAGTCATTCGAGACAACTGAGTCCTTAGTGACTTATAATGGTAATACTGAGGTTTGAACACAATACCTTATGGACAGGTATCGAACAACGTAACTACACAACCATGACGGCCTTATATCACATTTACCTCAACTAATGATGCATTTCTTAATTACTTCTTTATCGACAATTATAAGGGTTTTCAGAACAGCATATTGCAATCAGTATATCAAAGTCGGAATATAGTTGACATGGTCAAGTAGGATGTGGGTGTAAGTGTAGGTATGAGTCTCTCTTGAGTAAATACTCACATCCTCTCCCTACTTATACTGACACATACCCCACGGTAAGTATTCTCTTCGCCAAAATACAGATTGTCGAAATTCGGTGATGTCACTTTCTGCGATGTAGTCATCGATAATGTTGTTTTTTTGATAATGACGCCTACAATCGTTAAGTTAACGTGCCTACGTTGTGCTAGAAATTTGTCGAGCTAAGTTAGGAACTGACTTAACTTAGGAATCTAGTCAGAAACTAAGACAACCTGGAAGTCTGTCGCAAAATTCTGTTGCAATTCATGATATTTATGACATAGCTAAATGATCGCTTTTTTATGCGACTCATGTCGAATAAATAAACAAAAAAAAATGACCTTGAGGGTGGGTGTGGGTGTGGGTTGAGTGTTGATGTGAATGTGAATGTTAGTGTTCTGTGCCTCCACACCCACACCCACACCCTCTATTTAAATTCGACAGACTTACTCATTTCTTACGACAACAAGGACCGTTAGCTCAAGATGATTCGTTTGGGTCTATGCTCGAACGATTTCTCGAAGAAGAACAACAGATTTCTCGGATTCGTAACATAAATTCTGATGTAAACAGAAGAATATGTGAAGTATTAAGCGTCGTCAGGAAAATATGTGGACAGAATAGACGACAATTAGTTAGGTCAAACGAAAGACTGTCACCTCATCAAGTCTACACAAAAATCGATAGTGTAGTAGTCATATTGGCAGTTAAAAAACAAATTGATGGTATCAGACAAAGTCGTCAATTAAAAATACCAGCACATGAATGCAGAATACCAATAAACTTACTGATAAACAGGATATTTACTCAACTTACTAATTCTAACTCATAAAATAAGACATCGGAACCTAAATAAGAAGCTTTTAGGTCTTTGTTTTATAGATTTCGATTCCTGACAAGCCTCTGTCATTTCAACTGTTTTATTATATTCTTTTGAAGTATACTATTCAAATAAAACAAACAGAAAAATATTTTTTGTAATTTCTTGTATGACTGAATTAATCATATATTTACAATTCTTTCGCGAAACTTAATAATATTTCAGTATATAATTTTTCTGTTCAAAATTTCGTATAAGATTTGGACGTCTGTATTTTCAATTAGTTAGACAACACTGGTTTTTTCCAGTCACAAAATTTATCAGATAAGGTGAATGATGTATGACACACTAGGGTTTTTTCACATATGACTCACCTTTTTCATTTCCGTTTTCTTATTCTACAAAAAAACACGAGATAAAAGCCATGTGTAGGTTGTTGCAGAAGATTATTTTTTTGTTTGACGACAACTTTTGGTAAGAACAGTAAAGCAGATAAAGTGAGAATTTTTTGTGAATTACAACTTGTATAGAGTAAGTCAAATTTTTTCCAAATTTTAAAATATACTTTCGGTCATGTTAGTGGATAAAGAATTATTCACGATAGAGAAAAAATCTCTGAGCAAGTCAAATCAATGACAAATAAATCGAATAATAATTGATTGAAAAACAGCTTTATATGTAACTTCATGGAAATTTTTTGTATTACCAGATCACAAAACTCGGGAAGCATGTTTTAAAGCATAAAAAATATTTTTTTTGAGTGAAAAAAGCAAATTGATCAGAATAAGTCCTGTCATACTTGTTTAACGTGAAAGAAAAAGTTTTTTTTTGAATGCTTTACAATGTGCGCTTTTACGTGTCAAAGCAACCATATTTTTGTTTTCTGTCTACCTCTCACACCATTGGAGACTCTTCCAAAAACATGGATCAGGTCCAGTCTCCACCAAGCCTTTAGTCCTTCAATTCAGTCTTTTTTTGCTTCTATGTTTAAAAAAAAATAAATAATATATTGTTTTGATTATTTCTAGACAGCATCTGTTGATCATGACTGAAAAATCATCAGCTAATGGTCTAACATCCGAACAAGTTAGTTTTTTTTAATAGAAAAAAATAATAAATTGTTGAATTTTATTGTTTATATAGCAATCGACAGCAACAATAACGACGTGTTTGGGTATTGGACGTGGAAAAGCACAGCCTGAAACGAATAATTATGGTAAAAATTAATTCATTCTGTGTCCTTTTAGTGGTAGACTTGTTTTCAGAACAACCATCAGTTTCAAAATGGAATAGTACCGATGGTAGTATATTGGGAGGCCACAGTTCGAACAGCGTTGGAGGTTTCGGTTCACGAAGCGGTGGCAGTGTTGGTGGTAATTATTCTTAGTTTGACTTTTATAGTTGTGTAGTAACATTTCCTTTTCAGGCCGAAGCAGCCGCAGTGGTGATGGAAGATTTGGATCGGATAATGATGGTGTAAAAGCATGTTATAACTGCAATAAGATTGGTCACATACGCCGAGATTGTCCTGAGTTACGGAAAGAAAATCGTGGTGGTCGCGGTGGTTTTCACTTAAGTAATGATAGTCGTAAAGTCAAATTTATATTGGCAGCGAATGATGGAACTTCATCAATGCGTATCACAAGTCGTAATTCGAAAAATCCAAATGAAAATAATCAAGTTAATAACATTGAAACAAAACCAACTTCTAGTGGTAGATTTCGAGGTAAAAAAATATCTTCATTTTAATATAAAAATACAAGTTACTTAGTACAGGTAATCGAGACAGTACTGAACGAGGATTTAATTCAAGCGATCATGATAAGATAAAGTTAGGTCATCGTGGCCGCGGCAGTAAGTATTGATTTTATTTAAATTAATTATATCCTTTTTCTCCTTAGATCACCACAATGATCAATCTCGTGATTATCCTAAAAGAAGAAAACCTCATGGTAACACAGATGTTTGTACTTTTCGCAATCCTTATTCTTCTATATTGTCATGTAGCTAGCATTGTACATTATATTCCACCACCTCCATCATCAACAGCAGGCGATATATATTATGCAGAACTTACGGAATACGCCAGTGTTGAAAGCAATGATCAAACAATTAACCCATGTATATCTGCAGGTAATTAAATATTCTTTTTTTTATATTCAATTGAATAATAATTTTATTGTCCTAAGACAAAATAAAACCAATTAAATTATTTCAAGATGCTCTTCTAAATACACAAGTTTTATCAAATATTCATCGTGCTCATTTTGAAAAACCAACACCTATTCAACGTTATACAATACCTTGTATACAACAACAAAATGATCTAATGACTTGTACTCAAACCAAATCTGGTAAAATAGTAAGCTTTTTTTTAAACAAATATTGATTGGTTAGGCTGCTTTTCTTTTACCAATTATTTCAAATTTACTTGAATATTATTCAAAGGAATTATCTGAAAAACATCAATTACCTTCACCACTTTGTCTTATCCTTTCACCTTCACATGAACTGGCTTTACAAATAGAATTCGAGGCAAAAATATTTGCATATCAAACCGTTTTGATAGCTTGTCTGTTAAGTAGTGGTCATGATATGTCTACGACTCTCCAAAATGGTTGTCATATCTTATCAACAACTATCGATTGTCTTAAAGATATGGTTGAAAAACATCAAGTAAATTTAAATTAGTTTTCAATATTATAATCTAAAATCATTATTAAAGATTTTATTAAGAAAAATCAAATATGTCGTTTTTGTTGAAGCCGATCGGTATATGAAAAGACTTTTTTCTATTTAATTTAATTTCATCTTTTACTAAAGAATGTTCAATCAAGATTTTGAACGTGATATTCGTAAATTAGAAGAACTTGGTCTACCACAAAAAGACAAACGTTTTACATCAATATTTTCTGACACATTTTCTCAAGAATTACAAAACCTAGCTGCGCAATATCTCCGTGAAAGATACATATTTCTTTCTGTCAATACTAATGAAGATATAACCCACACAATCGAAGAAGTACGACAAGCAGATAAAAAAGATCGTCTTTTACAATCATTGGCACAAAATCTCAGTATGAAATCAAAGAATTATTTCGAAATTTATCTATATTTTACTTAGATTTAAAGCGGTGTTTAATATTTGTTGAAACAATAGAGACAGCTGATTATATCGAAACAGAATTAACACATAAAAATCTAATGAGTGTTGTAATACATGATGATCAACATAGTGAAGCTTTACAAGGATTTACAAATGGAAAATATCAAATTCTTATTGCAACATCAATTGCTGCTTGTAATTTAGATTTTTCTTCAGTCGATTGTATTATTCACTATGATTTACCAGATTCGATTGATTTTTATATTGATCAATCAATATCATTTTTTGATCCAGACAGAATTTCTGATCGAAAAATTGCAGCTGGTCTTCTATCAAAATTAACTGAAGTATGAAGATTTCGATTTTTAACTTAACATAAAAAGTGTTTTCCACTAGATGGGTCAAGAAGCACCTGAATTTCTTAAACAATATGCTGCTACTAGTGATGATACAACTTTTTCTAATACAGTTGAAGAAGATGATGAAGATGAATGGGAAGATGAAGAAGACTAGACGACTTTTTATTTATTTAATTCAGAAATCTATCTTCTCTTAATATCATTCATTGCCAATTTATGTAAGAATATTTCTTAAATCTGCCATTACTGACGAAGAATCAGCTTCTGCTGGTAAATGAACAGTTTGTTCTCGATTTCAACTAAATCTTTATTGCATCTTTTTCAATTCATCGACTTGAGCCAGGATTTACGCACCATTGATCGGTAATCGATAAAGAGGGTGTGGGCGTGGGTGTGTGGGTGTGGGTGTGGGTGTGGGGTGTGAGTGGGTGTGGGGGTGTGTGGGTATGGGTGTTGAGCATGAGAGGATCACACCCACACCCTTATTTTATTATATATGAAAAATTGACGTATTTTTCATATACAACATACAAATTTTATATTTAATAATAATTATTATGCAAGTTCATGTGAAAATTTAATGAATCAATTTTCTACATCATTTTCGGTCGAACGAAAATGGTTTTTTGCACATCACCATAATTGGTTAGGATACTTAAAATAATGTAATTTTCTTTTAATAAAGCCATATAGGTGTAAACAGAAAATAATTTGTAATATGTATTTTATTCATACATATTTGTTTAGAAGAAAATATTATTGATTAAACAATTGTTATGATTACGATCAGTGCCCATATCATGATGAAAATAATTTTAATTCAGTTCGTCATGTTTGTCTTGTAAATGAAAAAGCAATATCCAATAATTCAATCTACTTTCCAAATGCTACTGAACTCACTTTTAACTATCCTTCAATTATGCATAATGCCTCATTAAATAATACTCTCAATCGCAGTGTTTGTTTAACACAAATTAAAAAATTAATTATTGATAAGAGTCATTTAAATTGTGATCAAATTATTGAAATATTAAATTTGGTATCTAATTGTAATACATTAATATTGCATACAATTTTATTTGATAAACATGATTCTATGTCATTAAAACAAAATGAAAATTCTCAATTAATTTCAAATACAAATAATATGAAAAATATTACAATTAAACATAAATGTTCATTAAGAAAAGTTAAATTATTAATTAATCTCTGTTCTCAATTGGAACATTTAACTATGGAAATATCATATCAATCTCTTATATCAACTGTTAGATTCTTATTACGAAAAAAGAAAAATATTAATACAATTCGTCCTTTATTTTCATTATATTTCTTAAAAATAGGAATAATAGGAACTGAACAATTAAAGACATTAATTGAATCAGAAAAATTACTGGATGATTATAAAATAAAAAGAATTCATGATAATTGTTATCTATGGTGGTAAGATTTTTTAAAAATAAAAAAAAACCGATTAAATTATGTAAAAAATAATTTTCTTAAAGAAATATTTTAAATATTTATTTTTATATTGTATCGATTTTTGATAAACATAATAAAGACTCATATTTTCAAAATTCTAATAACTGAAAAACTAAATTGTCAACGGTTCAAGCGAATTATTTTTATTGAAAATCGCTTGTTTTCATCAGTTTATCGACTTTGATTTAAAATCTTTCCATGAAACGTTTACTATATTCAAAGAAACAGTTTTTCTTGTTGATTACGCAAAAAGCCAGTTTGCAATTAGACCATGTAATGATTGATCGAAGTCGTACTTCTTTTGTGCTACAGTAAGCACATCTCTTTCGGGTTTGCTTGACACGAAAATGCATTTGACGATCTAACTGGTCAGCAGATTGTGATGATGATAATCTATGCTGATTGTCCAAGATTTGTTCGTTGAGCCACAGAACATAGAGACTTTATATTGAATAAATTTGTAATAAATGCAATAGATTTTCAGTTTCATTCATCTGTGGATTAAACTTTGCGCTTAAAGCTAATTCATTCACATCTTGTTTTCGATTCATTAATTTTGTCATTGCTTTTAGCTGTTCTGATGTTGACGTAAAGGCTGCAATTAGTTTTGGTCGAAATACTGACCATTCATCATTCTCAACATTAGCTAGTCGATACTACTTCTTGGCATCACCACTTAAATATAGAACGACAGCTTTTCGTTTAGTTTTTGAGTCACCATCAGCTGCCTCGACCATTTTTTCAAAGTTCTGTATCCAAACGCTTACGTATTGTTCTTCCGCTTCCGTAAATTGACTTAATGGCTTCATACCATTAATTAAAATCCGTGCTGCACTTTGTTGTCTAAGACGTTCGTTATTGATGGCTCGCTGTTCGGCTAATCGACTTCGGATATCCAATTTTCAGAGAACAATTAAAGAAGGTTGCCAAGAAATAAAAATAAACCGACCGGGTTGTGCAGCTAATTTCGAAGTTTATTGTTTATATACCAATATTAAGTTAGATGTAATATTGGACAGAAATCGTTTACAGGTTATAGAAGCTTATTAGAAAAGAAACGTAGTAGACGATGTTGAGATAATGAGGTAGAAGACCACAATATGTATGTGTGTTTACGTGTGAAAATGCGGACTAGGTATGAAGAGATTATATTTAGATAAAGGAATCTAGGTGACAAAGACATTCATCGGGGTTAACAAACGTAACTAATACATGAAGTAAAATAGATTAGAGAAAAATAACATAACATGCTCTTGTATAGATCTGTGTTAGTCAAATTGATATAGACAAATCCGAAAGTATTTGCGAATGCTGATTGAAACAATGTCGTACCCGCAAAATTTTCTCCATACATGTAGCTGTTAACAAACGTAGCTAGTTCAAGATTGGCATTCGCGAATGTGGAGAATACCAACCAAAAATTGTAAAATAGGCTTCCATCCATTACACTTCCTTCAAAGTTCGCTGATTGAAGATTACAACCGGAGAAAACATTATTTGACGCGAGGACACCTCGAAAATACAAATACTGGAGATTAAAATGAACGAACTTCGATCTAATAAACTTAACATCATTAAGATCAGCACCGCTCAAATCTAGTCGATGTGCAGGTCGAGTATCGGCCTGAATCAATCGATTTGTGTACAGGAAAAATATGATATCTCGCTTGTACGTCACATCGAGATGATGGAGAGTACCGAGTACTTTCTTTCGAATTGGCTGAAGATGTTCGATGTTGTTCCGATTGAAGTGTGAACTGACGAGTAGATCTGAGATTACATCGATACAGTTCTCGAATATTGACTGTTTACGTTGTAGTAATTCTAGATATTGCTCGAATATGCCAAAGACAACAGACGGAACAACAGCTAGAATTAATTTAACACAGGCGATGCAATGAATTTTTTTACTCGTTGCGAGATCGTTATCACTGGTAGCGCTTAGATTTTAATTTCAGTGATAGCTACAGGTGTTAGCAATATCTGGTGATGAGGCTTAATTACTCACTTTTGTTTTTCCGAGTCAGATTCTCTAAATGTTTCGTGAGAAGAAATAATCCTTCAACACCACAATATAGGAAAATGCAAACAGAATCAGAACATATTGCAACGAGTCGATAATAACTATCTAAACAATCGATAAATCACGAAAATTGTTATAAAAGTTCCGTCAAATAAGGCTGAGATCATATACATATTCACATATCTTACAGAGTAACACATGCAAATATAAACCACTAAACTGCAAGAAGATAGATTGTGTTCTTATTCCTATCATTTGTAAGAAAGCTTTGCGATGAGTATACGTGAGCATGAGTGCCATCTGTCAGAACAATTTCATGTGGGATTGACAGTCATTACATTTACAGCTAATAATAGTAAATAACATTGTACTAGTAAGAAGAATTACATGTTGTTGCCCAATGACAATAATCGTATTCTGATATGACTATATGCTGTTGATAAGAAAATATGAATCAATACAGTGAGCTATCTAACATTCATAATCCAGAGGCGTTCATCGCAATACCAGCAGCACCACGGTAGCTATCAGAAATCGACATGAATGAAAAGAAGTCCGATTCGACTCAATTCGATGATGTGAGTGGGTTAGTACGTGAGAATCTCTTTCTCACTCTCATCCTCACCCTCAAAATATTTTTCTTTAAAGAATCCTCCAGTTTCATATTAACTTGAGTTGACTTTTGCTTCAAGGAATATTGGCAAGAAACACGCAAATTGCATCTGTTCATTAAGTTCTAAGTCGGAAAAGAATATACAATGTTTCCTATAAATCTGTTTTGTTCTATGTAGCAGTTTATTGAAATTTTTCTCGATCAGTACTCAGAGAATATGACAAAAAATGGAAAGAATAAGACCGCTGGTATTAAGCTGAAGTAGCAGTCTTACATAGATGAATTAACCAGTCTTCCAGCTAATAAGTAGCAACATATTTAATTATCATACTCTAACCGTACATTATTGTCTAATGTACATTGCAAGCTATGATCAGTCAGATTAGCTCTATTTCTCTGTATAAAGAACATGAAAATTCGATATAATTTATATTTTATTTAGAAAAAAAGGCTACATTGAAATTCGCACTATATTCGTACATAAAACAAGGTTAGATTTATTTCTAATATTTTCGAATGTCTGTCGAAACTAGAAGGTTATTTAGGATATTTGTTGGCTAAATATTCTTCCCACGTATTAGAATTTAATGAAATATTGTCACAAGTATTGTAACCTTCGGCGAATCCATTGAGAATTTCACCAATTATCGGCATGTTAACCGTCGATTCCTTTTCTGGACGCGCTTCCAATAATGAATCCGCTATTTCTTTCATCGTATATATCTTTCTACCACCAATATCATATGTGCTATTCAACGGTGGTTCTTTTACAATTTTAGCCAATTCCATAGCTACTGCTTCTACTTGAATAGGCTGTATTTTTGCAACTTTTGAAACAATATCCATTGGATAATTCAGTAAATAATTTGCAAAATCCTCTACAAGACTGTGAAACTGAGTGGCTCTCAGTATGGTATATGGAATACCACTTTCTTTGATTAAACGTTCACATTCCAGTTTTCCTTTGTAATACGAAAAGGGCATTTTATCAACTCCTACAATTGAAAGATATACCAAGTGTTTAATATTTTTTTTCTGAATAGAATTTAATAAATTCTTTGTTAAAGTTATATCGATAGGCTGACCATCATTTGTTGTTGCTTGAGGCAAGCTTGCAAGATATAATATTGTATCTACATCATCATCTATAGATTTATTTATTCCTTCGTTTTTTGTCAAATCCATATGAATCCAATTTGAAGTTGACTGAGAAGCAACATTATCATTCTCATTATTTATTGATATTGGATTGCGACTGCCAATAAGAAAAGGTGTTTGACTTGAAAGAAATAATTTGGATAATGTCTGTCCTACAGGACCAGTCCCACCAACAATGAGTACTTTCACCATTGTTTGTAATAGTTTTATAGTAGTACGATTGAAAATCAATATATGAGATCACGATATCTAAAAGAAAAATATTTTATAAACAGAAACCACGGAAAAACAAAGAAATTCTCCATCCATCTTAAATTAAAAAAGTAAGAATGAAAATAATCAAAATGATACTAAAAATATCAGACAAGATGCTAAACGACAAAAAAAATATATGTATCGTAACTGGAAAAACGTGAATAATAAGAAAGCAAAGTGGCGAGGCAAAGCAGAAATGTGTGCTGGTTGCGATAAGAAAGAAAGCAAAAAAGATACAGTATTGGTGATGGGCATGCAGAAATATATGTATCGACGCAGAAAGGCAACAGAACGAGATAAAAAACCACGCTTGTTAGCTCGCTTCGATGAGCTTACGTTTGTTTATGTAAAATGTATATATATCTTCAAATGTCCTTAACAACACGTACATATATATTACAAGATACAATAGCGAAGAAGAAGAGAGAAAAAAGAAAAAGAATAACAATTGCAAAGAGAGATAGATAGAGGAGGTGGATAGAGGCCTGTAACAATCCTCCCCTCTTATGAAATGTGTGTCCTCACACGTTGAAATATTGCACGTTCACGATCAAATGCACATGGATAGAAAAGCATTTGTCATGTTTCAGATGGAATTAAAAGTAAACATGAATAAGCCATTTCTGCTATCCATGATGGTATGTGTCCCATCATAATAACAACAGGATCTTGTAATTGTCTATTAACTTGAGATGTTAATTTAGTTGATAAAAATTCATTTTTTGATATCAATGTTATTAAAGAATTTTGATTATTACACATTATATGCGTATCTATACATAAATCATACCAATAGAGATTTAACTATTTACTGTTCGTAAAAGAAATGTAGCATTGAATGCCAAATCATTTATTGTTAATATTGATGCTAATGATTTCTCTAATGTTGATATTCATAATGATTTTAATTTTTCATCTATGATATATTCAAATGATGAATTTGAATTGTACGGTAAATCAATAGTTAATGGATCTTCAAATTGTAATTGACAAATAATTGGTGCATACTGATCAAATGTCGTTGATGGACATTGAATGTTAATTCAATGAAGTTGATATAATAATTCTTGTCCAGATTTAAATTGTGATGACCATGAAAAAATTTCATTTTGATTTAATCGTTTTCTTAATAAGTAAACCATTTTCCAATCCTTTTCAAAAATTTCTCTTTTTTTTTAATATTTGAGATGTATAAACTTTATTAATCCATCCATCTTTTTATTTTCTTCAATTCCATTTCGAAAATATTTATCTAATATGACTATATCTTTAATTTGAATAGAAATAATATTATTTAAATCTTGTTGACTAAGTTGTGATTGAAGAGTTTGATTCAATTGAGAAATTATTTTTACCAACATATATTCATTTATATTTCTTCTTTGTATTGTTTGTTTAAAGTTAGTAACATATCTTTAAGTGACATTGATTGTACGTCATAAACGATTTGATGTTGATTTTTTCATGACTAAATTGTGATTGATAAAGTTCATAAATATATTGTTTTATCAGTAGATTGTTCACCACGTTGTAAAGATGTCACAGAAATAGGTGTTGTGTACCATGTGTACAATGTGAAATCAGAAATGATAATTTGGGATCAATAATGATGAATTATTTCATTGGAGAATTTTCCCATGAGTAGATAAAATTCATATCATAGATGTTGACGATCTGAATAAATAAATAAATTATTATGATTGTTTAGAATTATATTATACTTCTTTGTTTATGTTGTCGTTGTGCTGTTGTAGTTGTTTATTTTCTAAATATTATTCATAATTAATTGTTTTTTATTATTTTTGTATATTTATTTGTTTTTATTTTTAACTCCATCGGTCAGAGTATTGTGCTTTTGAAAAATAATTTATTTTTATAATATTTGTTACATGTTCTAATTCTTGTCGAAATTTAAAGCCAATAATAACTTCATGGTATTTACGATTAATTGTTATTTGATGACTTGTATGTATGTTATCATCACGTAATTGAGTACGTATTTTTCTAAAGTCATATTTATAATATATTGGCCTTGTTAATTTATTTTGAAAATCTGGTCTGTTTCGTTGTTTCCATTTAAGTTTTTCATTTTTTTGTTTTTGTTTTTCTGATTTTGATATTGTGCTGGTGGTGGTTTGTGTATTTGATAATTGTTGTTGTTGTTGTTCATTTAAGTTGAATTCATTCATTTCTGCTTGTGTTGTTTCAATTGTTAGTGCATATGGTTCATCGTGTGGTGAATATGATGTTGGTTCACGTTTATCGAACTTTGGTTTTAAAATTTCAATTAATTCATCTTCGCTAATATCTAATAATTCATTTTCCAAGTGCATAATAATATTTGTTGATGTTGTTGTTGGTGTTTTAGGTACTTGGTGATTGTCTGCTTTGTCAGAATACATATGAAAGAATAATTCGGCGACAACCGCACAATCGTTTATTGCGTATTGTTTCATTTTTAAACGTTGTTATTCTTCGATGTTTTTATTATATTGACGTCGACTAAATAATTGATTTTTCCATGTATTTAAATCCAAATCTAAACCACATTGCCAATGATTAACAGTTAATGATTTATCAATAAATTTTCCGGATGTTGTTGCAATAGCATTTTGTAAAGATATTGGTTGATTTGAATTATATTGAACTGGATAATTATCATCATGATCATCGTTCATTTCTTCATCATTATCATGGATATCATTATCACCAGATGTATCATATATATCAAATGATATGCACCTGGTTTGATCATCACGCTTTTCCATTTCTGGATGCGTTTTAGCAGTGTCGTACTGGTCACTAAATAAAGATTGTAGATTAGTGTCTTTAATGTTCTTACCTATATGGATGAGGTTGAGGTGATGAAAATTTTTGAATTCTTCTTCCAATGGCCCCCATGATATAATTTCATTGTTGTTGCTGAATTTGATTGAGCATAATTCTTTTATTTGTTTAAATAAAATTGATTGTGGATCGGATAAATAATTAGCTTCTATTAATATTATTGTTGAATGATGGGTTGAATGAATGAATTGTATTTGTATTAATGCACCTCGTTTTTCTTGTTTGCCTTTTTGTGATTCAGTATCAACGACATAACGTTTTGTTTGTTTTGCTTTTATAATAAGCTCATCAATAATGGAAATTGTTGTTTTACAATGAATATGTATAATGTTGATGTTTGATGATGATTCAAATGGTGGATATTGAGCTTTATATTTTTCATATTTTTCTATTCTTTTGGTTGTTCTTCGCCAATCTCTCTTTTGCTTGGTATTTAATTTAAAGTAATAATCAAGTAAATTAGATAATGATCGTTTTGAAGACATCGTAATGTATTACATAATTTATATTTGAATGGCGTAATAAAATTATTTCTTCGCTA